GGCCCAAACAAGGAGATCCCTTTGGGCCCAAATCTGTTGGGTATTAACTGTATTGTCTTCTGACTGTGTTACGAAGTTCTTTCTTCTTGGTTAGGGCACCCACTGCCGAGGGGATCTCGGCTTTGACGTTTCGCATGTCTTTTGGTTGCACTGTCCGTGGCTTGACTCGCACCCTATTCACCACTCAATTCTCCATTGTTGCATCTAGTCACTCGTTGTCTGGTTTGTTGTACAGACACGGAGCTGATCAGACTGGACTTGAAAGGACCTCATATGCAGTCTGATCAGACTAGGTCACTGGATCAGACCTCTCTTTTGAATTGATTGCTCTTTTCTTTTCTCTTTGGTTGCTTCTCTCTTCTTCCAAATGAAACGTCGCTCCGGCTAGGAGTTCTACCTTCTCTTCTCTAAGCTTTTCAAGTTTGTTTTCTAACCTTATTTCCGATGCCCGTGGAGACTTGCAGACAGAAGGAAGAGAGAGACARAGGGGAGAGAGAAAAAGGAGAGAGGGAAAGTAGCCGTATGGAGTAGTTAAGGGTTGGGAAACGGAGTGCTCGTCTCAGTGAAAAGGGGAGTGTACCTCTTGAGAGTCTGATTGATTCTTTCGCTAATTGGCGTCTCTCTGACCCCCCTGCCAAAACTGACAGTCCAAAAATGGCCCAGCTATCTTCCGCGCAATGGTAGGTCATGTTGGATGCAGCCAGTGATGCGGAAAAACCGCAACTGCAAGTCCTTCTAGATGCTACTATGAGAAGTGAACAGGAATCAGAGAAGGAGAGGAAGGAGGCGTTGTTGAAGAGACAAGAGCCCATTTTGGAAACTAGTCCCTCACTGTCTGATGAACAATGTGGGGCGCAGTTGCGATCCATACTAACCGCTATGGTTCAAGTCCGGACGCTTGAAGATCATACCACTCAGTTCGCCGAAGTCTTCGATCAAATGAAGAAACTTGGGGACTATCTGACTGATATGACCGGCAAGTACCGCGACTTGATGGTGGAAGTTGCCGCACTTCGGCAAGCCCAAGTGACCAACCCTCTTGCTCTACCCCCTGATTCCAGAGCTGCAATCACAACCAATCTAGCCCCTCTTACCTTATCCTCATTTACTTCCTCTTCTTCGAATGAGTTGGCTAACTCTTCAGGACCTGCAAGAGGTGCAGATTCCACTGCTGCTGGAAACAGCAGTGAGGCAGAAAATTCTGCAACTGCTGCAGCCCAAGGATCAGAACCTGCTGCAGCTGGTCCCAGTCGCGCCGGTTCCTACGTGGACCGAAAGGCGGTCCAAATACCGTCTAAGTATGACGACAAAGAAGACGTCGAATCCTGGATCAGCTCTATGAGGGCTTACTTTGAGGTCTTGGGGACACAACCCGAGACCCTGTCCGTGATCTTAGGAATAAACGTTAAGCCGGTGGTGCGGGGCTTCATAGAAGACCAAGCTACGCGAGCTGGGGTCCCAAAGCTAGAACTAACAAGGTGGCTTAAGTCCACCCCGGTGGCCACCATCAAAGGGCTTCTTATTAACCAGTATAAGGATCCACATGCCGCAGCAAAGGTAAGAGGTCAGCTTGAGAAGGTCAAGCGCAACAAATGGACAGGCTCTATGAAGAGTCTCCAAACTTACCTTAGTAAGATGTTAGCTACGCCTGGCCTTGAACTAACTGACCAATCTTGTCTGGATGTGGTCAAGGGCGCAGTCCCCACCAACTTTACTAATCACCTGGGCAAAGACTTCATCGGTTACAATGACTGGTTTGTCTTTATGAAAGACAAAGTCAGTCTCGAGGCAGCTGACCTCGTTACCGCGACAGGCGGTTCAAAGGCAGCAGCCGCTTTGCTATGCATGACCTGTTGGAAGGGGAAGAAGAGGCCGAAGCAGATGAACCCACTCTTGGTGACGACCAAGAGCAGGACGTTGATACAACCTGTTCTTCAACTCATGAGTCTGATGTTAATCATGAAGAAGAAAAATTTACTGCCTTCAAAAAGACTGCCAACACAAGGGGCCCGAATCGGAATTCGGGGAAGAACTTTGTCCAACTCCCCAAGGGAGTAAAGATCCCACCGAAACCGGAGGATTCGACCACCAAACCTTGGGTCGATCTCTGGATCTTGGAAACTGATTGGAGGGCTAGACTCAAGAAGGGGGTATGCCTGCATTGCCAGAAAGCAAACCACAAAGTCCAAGATTGCTACAGGCTGCAGGGAAACCAGAACCGAGCGTAGAGTTGAGTTCAGCACAGTCTACGGCAATGGAGACTGATTCCGAATCGGATCAGCAGTCCTCCCTTAAAGCCCAACCGTCTGCTGAAGCCAAGGCTGAAACTTGTAATGTGTTGTATGTCGAGCCTTGAGAGGAGTCCGGGTTGGTCGACTTCCACTACCACTTGGAGCATTGGGCTGAAAAGAAACAGAGCCGTGCCCAAGGGACAGTGAAGTTGATCTTCTTTAAGCATCTAATGAACCACCGCTATCTCCATGTTTGGGTTGACTGTGGTGCCACTGCTAACTTCATGTCACCTCACGGGATATGCAAAGTGGGCTTGGGAATGAAGCAAGTGGCCTTGTAGAACCCTTGCCGGACCCAAGTTGGCAACAAGGACGTTATCTCTTCTACGCATGCGGTCAAAGGTGTGCGCACTACCTTTGACAAGAACAAAACTGTCACCCATGCTCTAAACTTCTATATCCTTAACAAGTGCCTCTTTGATGTTGTCCTTGGCTTGGGTTGGCTACAGTCCCAATGCGAATGGACCAAGAAGAAGGAGTTTCTCTTCATGGTCAAAGATGCTCAGGGGAACGAGCTTCCTGTCCTCTTGGATGAGAAGCATGAATCCCCAGTGACTTTTCTAAATGCTATGAAGTTCTGCAAGAAATGGCGCAAGCACAAAGAGGAAGAACAATTGTATGTTGCCTTTGTTCGTCCTACTCATGTGCCTTCTATTTTTGACAATACCGCTACTACTTCATCTAAGAATACTACTTCTATTGCTACTACTACTGTCCGATCTACTTCTCTACTTCCTACCCACTTCAGATTCAGTTGTCTCTATTCGCAACTTGTGACCTGACCTAGGTGATCGGTTTTCGGGAGTCTTGGCCGAGCCACGTGGAGTCCCCACGTGATCGGTCCGACACACCATGGAGTTGATTGAGGGTGTTGTTCCTCCAAAGGGCTGTGTGTACCTAATGGGACCCGGTGAGTTGGAGGAACTCCGTCGACAGATCGATGAAATGATTGACAAAGGGTGAATCAAGCCTAGTGAATCTGAATTTGGTGCTCCTGTTTTGTTTGTGCCAAAGAAGGGAGGCAAACTCCGAATGTGTATTGACTATCGCGACCTAAACCGCATCACAAGAAAGAACGCCTATCCTTTGTCCCTAATAGATGACTTGCTTGAGGCTGCAGGAGGGTGCAAGGTCTTCTCCAAGATCGACCTCAAGTCTGGCTACCACCAGATTGAAGTCGATCATGCGGACCATCACAAAACTGCGTTCAAAACGCGCGATGGGCTTTACGAGTTTACCGTAATGCCCTTCGGTCTCACGAACGCACCAGCCACCTTCCAATGCCTCATGGACAAAGTCCTCCGCGAACAGATTGGTCGGTTCGTGGTGGTCTATCTAGATGACATTCTGATCTTCAACAAGTCCATGGAGGAAYATCTCAAGCACCTTGAGGAAGTTCTGACCATCCTCAAGAAGACGCAACTCCATCTTAACTTGGAGAAATCTGAGTTTGGGAAAGATAGCGTCATCTACCTTGGGCACCGGTTGTCTGTTGCAGGCCTAGAGCCTGAGGCCACCAAGGTTGAGGTCATACGCGATTGGCCTCAATCTACGAATGTTCGTGAATTGCGCTCTTTTCTCAGTGTTGCGTCACACTACCGGAAGTTTGTGCCCCGTTTCTCTATTGTTGCTCATCCATTGTCCCGAGTAACGAGCAAGAATATTCCCTACTCTTGGGACGACACATGCACGAACGCCTTTGCAGCCTTAAAGGAAGCCTTGGTAAGTTACCCCGTACTCCGCAACGCTGATCCCAAACTGATTTTCGTTGTTACCACCGATGCAAGTCAGTATGGGATCGGCGCAGTGCTGCTGCAAGATGATGGCGACGGCTTGCGACCACTCGAATACTACAGCAAACGCATGCCCAACGTAAAGGTAGTCACTTCCACCTACATGCGCGAGCTCTATGCCTTGCGCATGGAGTTGAATCACAGGAAACACTATCTGTTGGGACGCCACTTCAAAGTGTTCTCGGGTCATGAGACTCTGATGTGGATCAAGATGCAAACTACGCTGTCCCCTACCTTGCTTCACTGGTTCCATGGGATCGACATCTTTGATTTTGAGTTGAGGCACCCGGAGTACATGACTTGCCTGGTGAAATCCTACGACCTCCGGAAGAAACTAAAGGAGAAACTCGTAGCGCAAACAGCCAAGGATTTGGAGCTTGGCCCCATCCTTGAGCAGCTGCGGGCTGATCCTAGTAGTCAGTCTGATTTTCACGAGCATGAAGGACTTGTTTTCCATCGCTACGGGAACCACGACCGTTTGTGTGTGCCCAACCATGAGCCTCTCCGCACGCACTTTTTGGATTTGGCTCATGGCTGGAGCAGACACTTCGGCATGGCAAAAACGTACGCAAACTTGCTGAGACAGTTTGATTGGCCTGCCATGAAAGGAACTGCTGAAAAATTTGTGGTTGAATGTCAAGTCTCTCAACGAATCAAACCATGCAGACAAAATCCCATGGGGCTACTCACACCTCTTCCCATTCTCAATGGTCCCGGAGAGTCTATCTCCGTCGATTTCATCGACATGGGAAAGGTAAGTAAGAACGGCTACTCGCAGGTCATGGTGATTGTTGACCGATTCTCGAAGTTCCTCAATCTGATTCCCTTGCCGTTTCACGCTCCCATAGACCTAGTGATCCGTGAGTTCCAACAGAAGTACATTCTGCAGTTCGGTGCCCCGAAGACTCTCGTGAGCGATCGGGATCCGCGGTTCATTAGTACCGAATGGAAGGACTTCACGTCTCAACTAGGAATCAGACTTTGCATGACATCTGGTCGACACCCCGAAGCCAACGGCTTGGCCGAGGAGATCAACCAAACTTTGTTTCAACTCCTGCTCACCTTGATTATCCCGGATCAAGAGACTTGGGATGAAGAGCTTTATTCCTTTAAGGGGTTGTACAACAACTCCGTCCATTCCACCACCGGCATAACACCCAACAGGCTGCATTACGGTTGGCAGATCCGGAATCCGCTCTCATACTTGTTTCCTGAACAGCCAGCTAGCTTAACGCCTGGCAGGTCTGGTTTCAAAGGCAAGTACGATCGCTTGCTCAAGGTTGCYGTTGCAGCCACGGCTAAGCGACCGCACGCCATGATCCATCACCTATGAATCCCCCGCAAACGCGCGAACGCGTCCGCGGGGCCGAGCTCTGATCGCGGACCCAAATGGGTCCGCATCGGCGGCTGATCAGGTCAGCACCACGGACGTGATTTTGCAAGAATTTTCCTGAATTAAATAATGGGTAAAAAAAATAAAATAAAATATGAGGCTGTAGGGAATTTCAAGCCCTACAACCCCTTTTTTTTTTTTTTTTGGATCCGACTTTGTTTTGGATTTTTTTAAAATAAAAAACAAAATTGGATTTAAATTAAATTAAAAAATATATATATAAAGAAAACCAGGAATTTTTTTTTGTCATTTTTTATCATCAGATATAGGCTCCCTCAGCTCACCTGTATTTTTTAGAAACGAATTTATTTTTTTTGCAGGAATATGAGGTGTTTTAGAAATATCAAGATGCAAAATTTGAAAATAAATAAACAAAAAAACTTGAAAAAAGGGTTTGATTGATTGATTGATTGATTGATTGTGAGTGAGTGAGTGAGTGAGTGAGTGAGTGAGTAAGTGTGTGTGTGTGTGTGTGTGTGTGTGTGTATGTGTGTGTGTGTGTGTGCGTGTGCTCGCATGTGTGTGTGT